AAGTGGAAATGGATTGGACACTCTCTGAGGAGGCTGCTGGGTGACATCGCACGTCAGGCCATTGCTCGAGTGGAACCCGAAATGGAAGCGGCAAATGGGACGTCCAAGGGTGACATGGAGGAGATCGTGTGAAGAAGAGTTGAAGCAGTATGGACTAACATGGATGCAGGTGAAAAGTACAGCAGAAGACAGAAGCAAGTGGAGACGTGCAGTTGAAGCCCAATGTTCCACTAGGAACCCAAGGGAACAATAATAATAATAACAGAACATTTGAAATTACATATCAGTGCATAACTCAAGTCCACCTGCTGTTATACAGCGAGGTTTGTTGGCTGTAGTCACACAATGCTTTTCACACATATATTATTATTATTCCCTTGGGTTTCGAGTGGAACATACAGCTTCAACAACACATCCACTTCCCTCTATTTTATGCTGTTCCCTTCACATAGGTCCACGATTGTCCAAACTCTTTAATCTCTTCTTCACACGATCTCCTCCAGGTCACCCTTACACCGACGACCCACTAGTCTCTTCCCATTGGGATTCCACTCAAGCGATGGCTTGGCCGGCGAGCGATGTCATTTGACGACTTCCTCAGTGGCGTATGCCCGATCCATCTCGATTTTCTCCTACAAATTTGTTGAGCAGCCGGCTCTCGCCTACTTATTTGTTCATCACCAGAGTTTCTTACCGCTTATTCTTTCTGGTCTGCTGACCAGCCATTTGGTCTTCAGTATGGAACCAGTGAAGTGGGCAACTGTTGATAAATGTCTACAACCTGTTTAAAATCTTTTTCTTGACACGCTGGCCAAGTTTCTGCCTACCCATACAGAAGATCTGACTGGCTTCACATTTGTTTTGAACAGAATCCGAATCTTGTACTTTATCCTTGCTGAGTCACTGAAGAAGACTTGCGAACTGCCTTTAGGTTGACGATAGTGTATGTTGCCTTTCCGATCCTGTCTGGCTGGTGTCGACGTCTTCATTCGTTCCGACTGTGTGTGTGTGTGTGTGGTTAGAACGGTGCTTTCTAGCTAGATATTTGAAGCCAGTAAGTAACCTCTGTTAAATCTCTCCCGCTGATTATGATACACACGCATACAAGAACATATTCCATCATAGTTTAACAAGGGAAACAAGGAAAGGTATGTGAAGCTGTGTTCTAGAACACACTTGTTCTACCTTTTATCAATCTACAAACCCAGATCATGATTTTATGATCATCTGTCGGACTGACACCAACTTGCCACGATTTTGTCATTTTAAACTTCTAAAGCCATTTGACGCCTTAGCCATTCATGAATTTAACCCAGTCTTTTGTGTATAAGAGAAGTATGTACAGTCTCTATCTCTATCTATATCTTGGCCGTAGACAGATAAACATTTATTTATTTCAATATTGCAAAAATGTTCATTCAGACATCTATAAAAACAAAATAATCGAGCAAAGAATATTGTTTTCGATAAATTCCTCTTCCAGGCTCTACAATTATATATATGTTTATATACACAGAATATTTTAAATTAGTAGTTAATAACAATATCAGCGTGTTTTTAAACAATATCGATTTGTAAAGTATGGTCAATGATATTGTCGATACATGGATGATACTTTTTGATTATGAAGAACGAAAATGAGGCAAAGGACGTCCTGGATAAATTTAATGAGGTACATCCCGCAATAAATTTTACTATTGAGACAGAAAAAGACTCTAGTATTTCATTTCTAGACGTCCTTATGACCAGAAAAGAGGATGGCACAATAAGAAGAAGTGTTTATAGAAAACCTACATCAACGGGTCAGTACACACATTTCCTCAGCTTTGTGCCCTTGAAATACAAACGCAATCTAATAAAGTGCTTGGTCCACAGAGCAAGAGAGATTTGCTCGGATGAATGTCTTGACGAGGAGCTTAACAACATTAAACGGTTGGTAAGTGAGAAAAGTTTATTGATAAGAATATGAATCTAAAACCAAAACAGTCCAAGTTACCAACAGTTCCAAAGAAAGCCTTGTTCTTACAGATGCAGTTCCTAGGAGACAACACAAGTGAGATACTAACACATCGCCTCAGAAATGCGGTAAAAAGAGCATTCCCTGCTGCTCAATTACGTTGTACCTCCAAAACCACTCCTCTTCTGCGTTCGGGAATAAAAGACAAACTGCCTAATTTCGCCTCTTTCATGTGTATATACCATTTCAACTGCTCCTGTGGAGCCAGTTACATAGGCCATACAATTAGACGTGTTTCTCGTCGAATTTCAGAACATCACCCTACCTGGTTGGTTAAGCAAAGGTCAAACAAAATCTATTCGCAGCGCTATTCTGGCTCATCTTGTGGAGACAGAACACAAGAGTGACGTTAATCATGCTTTCAGGGTCATTTACCGCATACCTACGAATTTCAATTTCGCTTTAAGAGTTCAACTTCTAAATATTGCTGAGGCTGTGGGGATCCATATTAATAAGCCTAATTTATGCATCCAAAAGAAGTTAGTTCAGTCATTATCATTACCTTGGCCATCCAGGTTTGAATAATCCGGAATTTTTGTGAAATTTCCCTAATTTTATTTGATATTCTATTCGCTGTTATATCTTTATTATTATTATTATAATTTAAGCATCTTTAATGAACTGCAATAGCATTGACCATACTTTACAAATCGATATTATTTAAAAAAACGCTACTATTGTTATTAACTACTAATTTAAAATATTCTGTGTATATAAACATACATATAATTGTAGAGCCTGGAAGAGGAATTTATCGAAAAGATTATTCTTTGCTCGATTATTTTGTATTTATTTATTTTCCGTTTTGTTTATTCTTTCCCTTATCACTACGACTGTTATTCTCCTCCTTCTTCTTCTCACTTTAAACAGTTTCCAGTATAATTTAAAATCAATATATATATTTCCTACAGTGAGTGTTACAAACACCTATCTTATCAAACTTCTCACCCCTATTACATAAAGTCTTATCTGTCTAATCAACAAATAACCCTGGCAACAAACCAACCAAGAACATATCACTCAACAACTATATACAAAAATAGAGGGATGGAGTTGGATGGATTGAATATACACTGTAGAGACCCCAATTGAGTAGAATCACGCCCCAGCTAACGGAACGCGAATGGGTAACGATGATAAGAGTTGGGCACCGCTTCTAGGATGACGTGAAGGCGATTGTGTCACCAGGCATAAATGTATACAGACAATAGGATGGTGTGGAGATGAACTATAGAGGCCTTATGTTTCACACTGAAAAAAAAAACACCAAGGGAATAATACTACTACTAATAATAATCCTATACAAATTACACGCTCGCTATAAACTTCATAAATCATTCATTACACGTTATTAATCAATCCTATATATATGATTTTTAAGAAATTATATCCGGTGAGGGAATTGAAACATAGGTGTGAATGCATGAAATAATAATAATATGAAATGCAATTAAAACTAAAATGTTTGTGATTATAATCATAGTTAAATGTCAAGTGGCAAAGCAAATCAATGTCATATATAGAATAATTCATAGGATGGATAGAACTTGAAAAAGGTGTGCGATTATAAGATTAGTAGACAAATCGAAAAAATAAAAACGTTACGTAATATTGTGCAAAATTTAATATACAGCTGGGTACCCATTGGTCGAAAACGAAACCTGATCCGGTCGCTTGCCACTCGTATTCGGCGCATATGTAGCCCTGATACTGTGGAAGATGAGTTATACATCTTGAGGAAAATCCTAATTGAAAATGGATTTCCACCACGTTTTATAGATAAGAATATACATTCAAATCCTAAAAAACGTGAGTTATCAACCGTACCCAAGAAGATACTTTACATGAGCTTGGAATTCAAAGGGGACTTAGCTTCCGATATCATGAAACGGAGGATATCACAGTCCTTGAAAAGAACATTCTCTGATGCATCCCTGAGATACCTTTTCTAGTCGACCATTATTGTTCAATAACCTGAAGGACAAGATCCCGCTGTTGACCAACTCTATGTGTGTTTATCAATTCACCTGCTCTTGTGGAGCTAGGTATATCGGTCGTTCGACACGAGTTTTGTCCAAAAGGGTGCAAGAACACTATCCTGCATGGTTACGAAAAGGTGGAAGTGGAGCAATAAGAAGCGCGATCATTGAACATCTGGTCGATAATGATCACCCTATTTCTATAGCCTCCGCCTTTAAAGTCATCTACAAGTCAAAGAATAATTTCCCTAAATCCCTACGTACCCGACTCATCTGTATTGCTGAAGCTTTGGCTATCGAAACAGAAAAGCTAGATCTCTGTGTACAGAAAAAGTTCGTTCAACCCCTCCAACTTTCATGGTCTTAATCCCTCTATGCTAAAGTATAGTAATCCCCAATCATATTTTGGCTCTACCAATTTTTCATTTTTTCATTTTTGTCTATTCAATTTGTATACTCTTCCATTATTACAATGTCAGTTGCTACTAATACTATTCCCACTTTGAACTGTCCCCGGTATTATTTCACTTGTTCCACTTGTCATTCTAAATTAATTCCTTTTTGCAACATTAAATTCTATGCTATTAAATTTCACAAAATATTACGTAACGTTTTAATTTTTTCGATTTGTCTACTAATCTTATAATTGCACACCGTTTTTCAAGTTCTATCCATCCTATGAATTATTCTATATATGACATTAATTTGCTTTGCCACTTGACATTTAACTACGATTATAATCACAAACATTTTAGTTTTAATTGCATTTCATATTATTATTATTTCATGCATTCACACCTATGTTTCAATTCCCTCACCGGATATAATTTCTTAAAAACCATTTATATACGATTGTACAGCTTGATGATAAATTCGTTGAAAAGAGTCTCTTCGCTGAATCACTTGTTTTGATTTTCTATACGTTACAATGGGAATTTTCCATGATTAATCAATCCAATAAACATTTTGCAGAAATACTTTGACTACCTTATTTACTTACTTACCTCTGAGTAATTTATATAAGTTTAAGGATTCAGGGTCACTGAAACTCACATTCGACTTCACATATTGTTTATCGACAGCCATAACAATACTATGAAATAAATTATCCATTGATTCAAATAATAAAGCAGTTGGTCCAACAATATCTCGAACTGCCATTAACTTAAATAGGAAATATGTATATATATTGAAAAAGAAAAAAAGAGAGGAAGGTATATTAAGGACAACAGGATATCACATTTTTTTAAAAACGTTATTAGGCATTATTATAAGAGATCTATTGTGAGAACACATGAATTTTTTCTCTAGCGGTGGTGCTATTGTTTATCTGAGAGGGGGTGCTTGTAGTCTGACGCTGAACCTTTCATCTTTTCTAAGCTCACACTATAGGTTAGGCAGAGTGGAATTGAAACCGGCTAGCGTGCGTGGTTCGCGAGCGTTCTATGATGAATGGACTACTAGTGAATGTTTACAGAATATATATTTATTGACGGTGACAGTTGAATGACCTTGAGCAGACCAATAAGATCACTCAGCATTAAAAATGGATGACCGATATAGTTGATAAGGAAGACTTTCTTTTTGATATCGTTTACTATTTGCCAGCAGTTCAGCGACAGAATGCTTGTCAACCATGCAAGTAGTCCAGGTTTTGGTTCCAGGCTGATACAACGCCTATGCCACCTAGTCAATGGTAAGCCGGGAAGAGAGAGATATGGAGTTGGGCGTGGTCCTAAAAAACCTCGCCAAGCAGAAACACTGGAATTTCAAAAGCTTGAAAAGGCTGGCAAAGCAATGTATGTATGAAGAATTCATTTCCTAGCGTGTTTAACACCAGAAATTTAGCTACGAGGCTTGCTGTCCATCAAATCACCAGGGAGGACTTGGCTAAGATGTTAAAGCGAATATACACTGGAGGCTATTTGCTTAGAATTCATTAGAAAATTGTTCAATGCAGTTGAGTGAGTTGGGTTACTAACCTCACGCCCGACTGTCACTCTTCCTTGGGCATGATATCATCCGCCGGGAGGTGTAAGACTAGGTCGACTGGGATACGAAACCAGATATATCTAACATGGTTGGCGAACGCTCTACTTTTGGAAAACTGACGTACACAAGACGTTTGGAAGTGTAGCCAATTAGGATTAATGACATGAATGGGTTATTTCTTATTCTGCCTAAATTGTTAATCAAAGAAGTGATTATATGTCACTGTCTCCATAAAGTTTTACTACTAACTTGTTGGCGTGCGTCGGTGGTATAGCGGTTAGGACGCTAGCTGACCATGCACATGGTCCGGGGTTCGATCCCCGGCCGACGCACTCCTTTATCTCGCTGTGCCAGAAATAATGCTGATAAAGAGGAAAGGTTGGGCATGAGGCTAGCAACCTCATCCTGTAAAAATAAACACTTCTACAGAAACTTCAAGCCACTAGCTTGAAGCCCTATGTTCCACTGGGGAACGTGAAGGAAAAAAACCTAACTTGTTGGGCTTGAAAGAAATAAAGTTGGTGCTTGTACCAAAGTCATCTTCTGGGTTAGATCTAAAGTTTAGTCCAATCGCCAACATGCCTCTCTCTATTTTTGGAAGCTATGGTGAAACTTCGCTTGCTTATTTTTAAACCTTCTTTGAAATCTTTCTTAATGACCCAAAGCATTTCGCTTACAAATACAGTGGAAGCCCATTATATACGCTATCGTTGTACTCTACCCCATGTCTTGATAGAAAAAGCATTTAAGTGTGTGTTTGAGCCTCCATTTTAGACTACCCTCCTGCTTTTGACTCTGTTCCTGGGTAAACTTTTACTAAGCAAGCTGATTTCAACAAACACTGAATCTTGAGTCATAGCACAGGGTGGCTGTCTTCTTATTTTTTTTTTGGGTAGAAAACAACATACTGTTTTAAAAATGGAAAGTTATCCCTTGTTCGTTTGAGAACGGAAACTTGTGTGCCTCAAGACGCTGCAGTCTCTCTCCATTTCTTTTTCTTTCCTTTTTCATGACCCTCCATATTCTCTCTTAGAGCTAACTTCATTAAATATGCCGATGATCTGTACCGGTAGTTTCTGCTTTGAATTGTTTCTTACATGAATATTATTTGTAACAATGTTACTAATTAATAATCATCAAGTGTCATTCTGTTGATTTAGTTCAGATGAACAAATTGAATTTCTCATCTTGTTTTTACAGTATGACACGAAATAATAGCTGCACAACTTTCTTTTAATTCTATCCTGTTGATTTCGAAGGAAAGTTTCGCTTGTGACTTATTACATGAGGAAGTTGAACTTTCTGCTCTGGAATAATACTCATCCTCACCTCTTCCGTATAATTTATGAATTCATTATTCTGCCCATTCTTTTTCATTTTAACCCACTTATTCTTCCCTGGACTTCTCTAAAAACACTAGGTCACATTACGTAGAACATTGAAAGCTGTAAGTAGGGTGCGTAGTCCACCTCTGACTTAATTAACTGACAGCGTTGTTGTCAGTGGGCATTTCAATTCTTGCAAACAATTAGCTTAAATGTATCTTGTCTGATACTGAACATCCTATCTACTTATTCTCAACTTTCTTTTATTGTATATCTTCAGGGGTGATACCAGAAGAAACTTCATATAAAGAAGCATCATTCATGCTTGTACAGCTGCTTAATATAAAAATTCTACCATACCACACCATATTTAGCACGGGTTTTGTGTGAGGGAAGGGAGAATCAGATGTCAGAAAAGAACTTATGAACCTTTTAAATCAGTAATATGAACTGTAAAGTTTAAGCGAAGATTATTATTATTGTTACATGTATTATCTATGATACTACCTACTTAAACTTCATCATGTTTCCACCAACATTCTGTTTATAGTGGTATGTTGTGAATTGGCAGAAGTTAGAATTCATGGGCCATTGGATCGGGTCCCAGTGGCTTAATGGTATACGAGCTCGCTAGTCTTGTAACCAGAAGGTCCTGGGTTCGAATCCCGGTGGGTGCGTACTGATGAAGAGTCCCAATCTAGGACGAAACAGCTGTCCAGTACTCCCTGGTTGGTTTTCCAATGGTTCTCTAACTAATGTCAGCTCATGATGAAAATCCTGTAACCAATCAAATCCCTACAAACCAACACTTGAATAGTATTATCATTATTATTACTTTTCTAAGGAGGTAAATTGTTGCGATTTGCATAAAAACGATTAAATACTATTCTGTAAATTATTATTTTTTACAATAAAGTGAGTATTATTATTATCATAAGTGATAAACACAGAGGTAAAATCAAAATATACGTAAAATTCAATCGATAAAATTTGACAGTTACTCTAATTTCAGCGGTATATCACCCCATTGCTGACAACTTGTAATCATAAATCACTAATTTAAGACAACAAACAGGTAGGTTAAGTCTTCTGTAAATAAGACGGAAATCTAAGTTTAGATTCCTTCACTAACGAACGTTATTCAATGAATCCCTGAAAACCAAGAAGCCGTCTTAGTTTAGAAATGTTTGGTAGTGCATATCTATGAACCCATCCATCACTAATGGAATAGATGACCTCCATGTCAACCAGTTGACTATCCAAACTCACCGGTTCGCATTCAATGACCCATGATATCCAGCTTCAGTCAACTGACAAGTTGGCGTTTCTGCAAAACCCAATTGACATCAATAAGCATCCTGTTTATTGAATTTTACAACTCATTGGTTAAATGATCAGCCATTCGTTCTCTAGTAGTATCATGAGTTTGTTCTCCTGAAGATTCTCGAACTAGGACGTAGCAGCTAACCAGTACTTCGTAGTTTTCAATGATTCCCTAGGGGAATTAGTACGCAGAATGAAGCCGTCACTGGGTGAGTCAAAATGGTTTAATTTAATGCCTAAAACTAATAATGCTAGTAGGATGTATGGTACTGTTAAAATACATAAGCCAGGTTATCCCATAAGACCAATAGTAGATTTTAGATATACCCCTACATATGAATTATCAAAACATTTAGCTGTAATATTACGCCCCATTAGAAATCGTTCAAATTCTAGACTAACTAATTCATATGAAATGAAAAATAAACTAAATGACATACAACTAGATAATGATGAAACAATGGTTAGTTTTGATATAACCAGTCTTTATACTAATATACCAGTCAATATGGCCTTAGAAGCAGTTAAAAAAGAACTAACTGCGGATGCTGAACTCAATCATAGGACAAAGCTGTCCATTGAAGAAATTATTTTAGGAATTCAGCTATGCCTCACATCTACTATCTTTAGATTCCAAGGCAAAATATATAGACAAACTGAAGGTGTAGCAATGGGATCACCAATATCCCCTATCGTAGCAGATATATTTATGGATAGCTGGGAAAATATGGCACTTAATACGTTTAATCCTACTCCAAAAATATGGTGGAGATATGTGGATGACACTTTCACAGTGTTAAAAACAGAACATATCTCTAGCTTCTTGACACACATAAACTCACTAGTGGAGGGAATAAAATTCACATTTGAAACCGAAAATGAACAAGGAGAATTAGCTATGTTAGATTGTAAAATAAAACGAATAGAAGAAGGCAAACTACACACTAGTGTTTATAGAAAACCAACGCATTCTAATAGATATTTAGACTTTAATTCATCTCATCCTTTAACTGTTAAGGCAGACTTAGTTAAGTGTTTAACAAACCGAGCAATGGCACTAAGTAGCACAAAAAAAGACCTAAATGATGAAATAAAACAGATAGAAGGGGCGTTGGTTCTAAATAACTATCCTCTAAAATTCATTAGGAAGATTGAAAAACGCCAAAAGAAAAATAAAAAGATTGTGAAACTAGTAGTAATAAAATAAATAAGAGAGAATATAAGTCATCTACAGTTATACCATATAAAGAGGGGACATCTGAGACCCTACGTAGAATTCTAAATAAAGCAGGAATTAGGGTGGCATTCAAACCTACAAACTCACTCAAGGACAAGCTCTGTAGGTTGAAGGACCCATTGGACCCAATTAGACAAAATAATATAATTTACAAAATACCCTGCAATGACTGTGAGGTCAACTACATAGGTCAGTCAGACTAGTAGGTCAGGGGTAGTCAGATTGTCAGAACATAAGAATTTAGCTAAGGTAAGAATGGTTGACCCAGAGAAGATAAGTAATTTAGAGAAAAGCTCAGCAATTTCAATGCATGCATTAACACACAACCACACAATAGGGTGGGATAGGGTTAAAATTCTAAAAAGTATTCTAGGTAGGAGGAGAGAGAGGTTGATTACTGAATCTTTGTTCATCGAATCTACACCCAACACACGCGATAGGAATGAATCATCACTCAAACCTGAAATATGGAAAATAATACTACCAATCAAATCAAGTGAAAAACAACGGAACTATATAAATGAATTTAGGAAGTCGTGTGATTAACTTGATATGATTATGAGCAATAAATTGTGCTCGAAACGTCATCAGTAAATATTACTGTATAACACTGTGAGACTCTATCAAAATAAAATTTACCCATAATGGAATTCCCTAGGGGACTTTAGCTTGTAGCAAAATCTACACCGAAATTCATTGGAATTCCTATGAGACTTAAAATATGGAGATTTCAATCTTTCAAAAAAGTTGGGTTACATAACCTAAGGCATACAAAAACAGTATATCAAGGCCTCATAGCAACCAAATGTGTTCCCTTACACCTTTAAAAAAAGAACATTTTCACAGGATTCAAGTGCTGCTTTACAAGGATATCATTGATTTCAGGCTTTCATCATGAGCTGACATCGGTTAGCGGACTATTTGAAAACCTTGAAGTACTAGACAGCCAGCTGTTTTGTCAGCCTAGTTTAGAACTCTTCATTAGTACGCACCCACCACCATGAAGGGTTCGAACCCAGGACCTTCTGCTGGTTTCCCGTTTAAAGCACACAGTAAAGAAAAAAGCAAAACCAACCTACCAAAGTGTACAGTGTTAAAATAGCAATTGCAAATTCCAAGGTGACAATAATGTAATTCTGACGTTTTAACCAGTTGTTGAACCAAAATTTTGATAATTCCTTTTTCACCATTTGTTATCAAATTCTACAAATAGAAAAGAGACAATATTATTGTAAACTTCCTTTAAAAGCGCAATGTACACTTCTAACATACAAAATGGAATCAAGTTAACCACAGACAAATGAGATTCAATTCTGTTAAACAGCATGACCAATAAAGCTGAGCCAAAATACTCTCTCTGAGTAGTATGCAAACTATAATGAAAATATATATATTGATTGCCAATATCTTGTCAGATCACCTTCTGATCTTCATTCACATAGTATATAAGTATATTATAGTATAGTAGTGTAGAGAAATCTTAAAGCAACCAATTTCACCTTGAGAAAACTGGAACCGTTTAAAACAGAAGCGTGTGTGTGTGTTTGTGTGAAACTTTTATTGAATCCTTCCAGCTTCAAGGTCATCTACTTACTAGGTCGCATTCCAGGAGTCCTAATTACGTACATCTTGTTAATCAATTTTACTATCCAGAGAGAGAGAGAATAAGATGAAAGCAATTCATTCCTAGACTCCATTATGACTGGACGAGAGGGTGACACAATAAAACGGAGTATATATATATATATTTATATACATACTTTCATTGGACATGAGGCGTTAACTAGTGTCACGTGTCTTGTGGATAGTGTATTGATGTAGACTTGAATTCTGCCAGTCAATTTTGCTCTGTGACCACTGTCCTAGATGATTCGTCGTCAGGGTGCATTTTGAATTTTTGATATTATTGGATGGTTGAAGGCTGTTGGTTGATGATAGGCTGCCCTGGCTAACCCATGGTTGCATGTTTGTTGGCACTTATGAGTTAACAGGATGCAGAAAATCGTGTCCCTCTTCTCAGATGGAAATCCTGTATCACCCAGTGATGATACAGTCAGAGTATTTATTCACTAGATAAATTCTACTGACTAATCAGTTTGTGTCTTTGGACGTTAAATGTAGATCAGTAAAGTATTTTTAATTCACACAGCTAAAGTAATCTACTCTAACGTGACAGTGTAATGAATGAAGAATTCAAGATTAACTGATTGAAAATAATTTTTTTCCAGAAATTTCATACATTTAACTCCCCTTAATCAATCTGAATGAAGCAAGAACAACAGTGATTTGTGCAGGATAAAATTGTGCCATCATTGTTTATTTCGTTGGCTTCTCATCAGCTCATCAGCTGCTTACAGGCCACAGTCATTACTAAATATATATACCTACAGCAACAATTTTAACATACTTGCACAGAGTTCATTTTAAACAAAAATCAATCAGTCGATATATGCATACAGTAATAATATATATATATATATAATATTAAACACTATTCCGAACAATAGTGATCATACACAATGGAAACTTTGGGCATTACGTATTCAGATGAGAGATAAAATATCAAGTTACCAGGCAAGGCAAAGAAAGACTGATAACTGTTTCTTTCTGAACGCACAAATCAACTTGATTATAGAGGTGAAAACATTGCAGCAATGGTCAACAGAAGACTGAGTACGTCACTAGCCAGAGCCTATTCTGCAGCTTAGCTCGTTCCCGTCAATCGAACAACTTGCTCTTCTTTGGTGCAATCAAAAATCGATAGATAACCACCTTTCTCATGTTAGTTCCAACTGTATATACAAATTTACATGTATTTGTGGGAGCAGTTACATTGGAAGGACAGAAAGAAGGGCACATTTACAATTTTCTGAACATGTACCAAAGAGCTTATGTCTAGTGGGAACAAATGCTTTAAACAGTGCTATCGCCAGGCATCTCCTTGACACGGGTCATGAGGTGGACGTTGCAAGATCGTTCAAAATCATCAATAGGCAAAAGAGTTCAATTCTGCTTAAGTTTAATGAAGCGATCTCCATCAATCGCCTGAAACCTGATTTGTGCGTTCAGAAAGAAACAGTTATCAGTCTTTCTTTGCCTTGCCTGGTAACTTGATATTTTATCTCTCTTTCATCTGAATACGTAATGCCCAAAGTTTCCATTGTGTATGATCACTATTGTTCGGAATAGTGTTTAATATTATATGTATATATATATATATATATATATTATTATTATTACTGTATGCATATATCGACTGAATAATTTTTGTTTAAAAATGAACTGTCTGTGCAAGTATGTTAAAATTGTTGCTGTAGATATATATTTAGTAATGACTGTGGCCTGTAAGCAGCTGAGGAGAAAGCAACGAAATAAACAATGATGGTACCACTTTATTCTGCAAAAACTGTAGTTCTCACTTTATTCAAAAATGTTTTCCAAAAGAATGGTTACTGAACAAATAATATTCTTTTCGATAACGCCTTCTTTATCAGTTTCTGCAGTTATATATACATAATGGTCAATGAATGAATTAGTGTTATGAACAACATTATTACGGTTGAAATAACATCGAATCAATGGCAATAATAACAATATCAGTAGATTACTATTCGATAGCATACCAACGGAAATCCTAAAAGAATTTTTATTAAGGTGTACCATGACACACAAATCAAGCCGGTGAAAGATAACAATGGAAAGTCACTCACCAAAGAAGTGGAGCAAAAGGAAACACTGGGCTGAACACTTCAAAAGACTCCTAAATCGACCACCACCGACAACGCGCCCAACAATACCAACAACAGAGACAGAGCTGCCAGTGAACACCAACCCTCCGACGAAAGCAGAAGCCCTGAAGGCAATCAAGATGCTAAAAGCTGTAAAAGCAGCAGGACCAGATGGAATCCAAGCAGAAGCGTTGAAAATAGACCCAGAGACAACAGCAGACTTGATGACGCCACTACTGGAGAAGGTGTGGAAAGAAGGCAAAGTACCTGAAGATTGGAAGAAAGGTTACTTATTCAAACCACCAAAGAAATGAGACTTAAGTCAATGCAAGAACTGGCGCGGAATTATGCTCCTGTCTATCCCAAGCTAAATACTAAGCCGCATCATCCTGGAGAGAATCAAACATGCCCTGGATGAAAATCTTCGACGGGAACAGGCTGGATTCAGGAGAAACAAGTCATGCATTGATCAGATCGCCACACTACGGATCATCATTAAACAAAGTTTGGAATGGCAGTCACCTCTTTATCTCAACTTCATCGACTTTGAAAAGGCCTTTGACAGCGTCGATCAAGAGGTGATTTGGAAACTACTTCACTACTACGGGGTGCCACCGACAATAATACATCTCATCCAACAGCTGTACGACAATGCTGCATACCAAGTAATCAACAACGGGAAACTTTCGGAATCCTTCGAAGTGAGGACAGGAGTAAGACAATCTGGCTGCCTACTATCGCCAATGATTTTCCTGATTGCAGTAGACTGGATAATGTGACAAACAGCGGTGGCCAATAAGGAAACAGGCATAAAATGGACTCACACAAAAAACTTGGAGGATCTGGACTTCGCCGATGATATATGTCTGATTTCCCACAAACTGGAAGATATGCAAGCGAAAAGCAACAAGTTAGCAGAAGAAGCATCAAAGATAGGAGGGACTTCAGGTGAACATAGAGAAAACAGAGGTGATGAAGATTCCTGGCCAACACCACCACCAGCAGCAACAACAACAACAGACAACAATCAGCATAAATGGAAGGAACCTGAAAGAAACAACCTCCTTTACCCACCTAACTGGGAAGCATCATCTCAACTACAGGCACGCGTAACTGACGACGATATCAAAGCAAGAATCGGAAAAGCAAGACAAGCTTTCACTACTCTCAAATCTGTGTGGAGGTCAACAACACTCAGCATCAAAAATAAGATCCGGATTTCCAACTCCAATGTGAAGTCAGTCAGTGCTACTATACGGATCAGAGACTTGCACTGCACGTCATAAGGAGCATCTCAAACAAACTACAGACCTTCATTAACAGTTGTCTCCGCCCAATACTACTCAAAATCAGATGGCCAGAAAAGATCAGCAACAGAGATCTCTGGGAGCGAACCAACGCAGCAGGAACCGATTGTGAAACAAATAGGCAGGAAGAAATGGAGATGGATTGGCTGGCCGTACTCTGAGGAAACCATCAAGTGACATCACAAGACAAGCCAGTGCTCGAGTGGAACCCGGCGAGTTGGTCGTCAGTGCAAGGGTGACTTGGAGGAGGTAATGTGAAGAGGAGATGAAAGCATGTGGGCAGACATGGAGCCAGGTGAAGAATCTAGCAGAGAACCGAACTCAACGGAGACGCACGGCTGAAGCCCTATGTTCCTCTAGGAATTAAAGGATACAATAATAATAATAATGAATGTAAATTTCAGATTTGATGCCATAATTTACAGACAAGTGGACAAAGTGGCGATGTGCTCTCCAATGGCTCCTATTTTTCGCCGGATTTCCTTCTAAGTAAACTAGAAAATGGACATTTGAATAACCACTTATCAGAAAATTCTCATTTAATGACCGGCATATGGATTACACCTTTATTATTTTTTTGTGGTAATGATTCGGATAGGAATACAATAATTAACTGAACTCAATGAAGTACAGTCTGCAAGAAAATTCGAGTGCGAATAGAATTGCCTTCCTAGATGTCCTCCTTACAAGGAAACTAGATGGTAGTACAAAGAGCAATTTGCGCAGGAAAAGCATATGGACAGTATAATATACACATTTTCATAGCTTGACTAAGAAAGTTGAAAAAGACCAACCAATATCCATAAACACGAATCCTTTATACAAATGACTGCAATTCAATCAATGGCGATATACCTAGCGAAATAATTACGAGAAAGTTAAGAAAATCGGTTCAAAGAAATTTTAATGCTGACAAACTACAAGTTATATTTTCTACTCGACCGATGGTGATTCCTCAGTCGAAAGATAAAGTACGTAGACTAGCTAGCCACTTCTAATTGTATTTACCAATTCAACTTCGCTCTAGGAACCTGATTTTTCGTGCTCGCTCAGGTACATCTACCAGTGTGGCTAAATAAAGGTGTAGTATTAAAAACCATCAACATTTCGATATCAAACCACTTGGTCCAAATCAGCCAAATAGCTACCATTGAA